CTTTGACCTTTGACCCCCAGCTTCGACATCCCAACTCGTTTTCGGATTACCCCCCCCCCCCACGTCCCGAATATCGTGACCGTACGTCGAGCGGTTAAGATTTGTGCCCAACTGTTGACGGACGGACGCACGGACGGACGCACGGACGGACGGACGCACGGACGGACGGACGGACGATCATGCGATTCTACAAGCTGCATCTGACTATGTCAGATGAGCTAAAAACATAAGGAAATTTAGTCGCGCGTGAATGAAATTTTGTGATAAAGACTCAAGGGGGCATGAAACTGAAATAGCTTAAGAAGCACTGTGCTATGCGACGGTGGGTAGATTTGCACATGATAGGTGTTGGAGCGCGAAATATCAGTGTCATACAGAAATGGACAGCCAGACACAACATGTTGCACAATGAAAGAAGAATTCCTGTGCAAAACTACAAGAAATAAAATTAAACGACAATAAAATTGAAAATGAAGAAATGAATTGGATAAAAATGAAATTAAAATAATGGAAATAAAATAAAATTATAAGCAAAACAATAACAGACGGTACAGTCAGGTCGGTGTGCAGCAGTGTGTACAGCCGGCACTCTCTCACGCGGTGCTTACCTGCAGGTCAGCGTGTCACACGTTTCACAGAACAGCTTCAGTGGTTCCTGCTTGTGGATGTGGCAGTAGAGAGAGCGTTGGCGTGCCTTCACAGCACCCTCCAGCACGTCACACTTGGCTCTCACGGTGTGGTCCTTCGTCACCTGCACGCGAAAGACAGATGTTAGTTAACCTGCATCACAAAAACGTGGATACCGACATCTAGTGCTGTGTATGCCTCGATTTCGTTGATGTCTCATCGTTTGCTTTCGTAATCGATTAATCGCTCGTTATTTTTTAAAGATTGATGTTATTTGACTAATGGCAACGTCTATTGGATTCGTCGTATTTAACCTGTTTCCTTGCCCATCGTGTAATCCAGCCGTTCACCGATAAATTTTGGCACAAACCCATCAATTTCGTATGTAAATACTCTGCTTATATACATAACCTGTTAAACAAACACTTTATACACAAGACAACGTCGTGTTGCTATACATGTATTGCATGTTTTATTCAGACTGAGTCTAGTTCCAAAGCATGTAACGATAAAAGCGATTATTAGTTGATCACCAGTCGTTAAGACGAATGCGAAGATCAACCTAGATTTTTTAACCGATTATCAACACTACCGACAACAAGAACATAGGTGGTGTGTTAGCACGCTTACCTTGACGCGATGGTGGGCTTGCATGCAAGCATCACACAGCCACTCACAGCATTCCACACACCACGACGATGCCTCCGCTGCCTCGTCGCAGTTAGTACATGTCTGACCGCCCTCGGCACCCTGGCAATAACACGAAAGCACACTTCAGCAGAGTATGTATTACCTTATACATGTGCCTACACCGTTACCTATACATGTGATACGGTCTTCATCTCTTATCTTGATTATCTGTGTCATCTAATCTATGTTTTCTTACTCAACAGTTCACTATTGCTTTCTTTATCCTAGCTCACAATAAACGACGACAAAATTTCGCTAACTGACGTTTCGACTAAACTGACGATTCGTTTTAAAAAACTGAGTGTGGGCTGCACCATCAGGCCTCGATGCTTATTTTCAGATCTGGTTGTCCTGTCGGGCAACAAGAAGCAATTTTTACTTGTCTGAAATTTGGTTTTACTTGTCCAAAATTTACTTGCCATCTAGAGCTGTTAAGGTACAATACAGTATTTACATGGAAAATCGTAATGAAATTCACACGTTTATTTTTGCGTGCCGATTGCAGCTTTTTTCTCAGTTCCAGGAAAGAGTTTTGCTGTCGCTCTCTCATACCAGCGGTGCCCACGCCCTACATATTCAGTATGCCCCCCCCCCGTACTTCAATCAACGCCGCCCCAGCCAGCAAGCACGTACGCAGCCACGATGTGCGTGTCGCGGGCTGCTTTTTTTCAGTAAGTTTCGAAAATATAATGCGAGAAATGTCGTGCGATAGCGCCCTGGCTCAAAGGTTGTTAGGAATTTCACTCAACTAGAAATTTTTTAGTTGTCTGATCGGGCAACTAGCCAAGAGAATAACTTGTCCGACGTAGACTAACTTGTCCCAGGCAATCGGACAACCGTTAGTGTCGAGGGCTGGCCCATCCCTAATGGCCCTACCTGTTTGTTCTCTTCCTGTGCAACATTGTCGAGCACAAAGTAGTTATCGATGATCTGGCTATGTCGCCATTCCAGTTTGCATGTCGGACATTTCATTATTCCATCTGAAATACGGACATAGTGACATTAACAATAACATAATCCTACAATCAATCACATCTTAGATGCTGACACTATACATGCTCTCTATATTACAGTTGTACCTACACATATAATGTAGATGTCACTTGAATATAATAACATGAATATTATGTCTCTTACATTCTGCAGTGCATTTTTTTTAGCAATTTCCATATTTTGATTCAATTTTTTTAAACACATTCCATGCACTTTCCAATTATTGTATGTGTTTTGCTTGTTGCTACATGTCTGTATGTCTGTGTGTGTCACTGTGGTGTTGTTGTGTGTGTGCGCGTGTGTGCGGGCATGTGAGTAGACAATAGTAGATCAACATTCTAAAACTTTCTTAGGTCAAACTTCCCAAATTACCATCATTAGACTCAGAACAATTACTTTCAACTGGTCACAGGAAAGCAAAAATAAGGAAGAACACATGTATGGACAACATCAAGGAAGACATGAAGATGAGAGTGGGAGCTTAGGCATGATGATGTTAAGGACAGAAGCATATGCCAGGGTTCTTGTTAATAGCCGGTAACCGGTTATTTTTACCGCCTATCGCGCAATTTGTTACCGGCTATCAATTTGAGAGAAACTCCCACTAAAGGCGGTAAATAATAGATACTTAATAGCATATATTTTCCTATCTAAACTACCAAATTCTAGAATCCATACCCATCAAAATAGGCTATTTGTGGGTCAAATCAGAATTTTTTTCCGGGGGTGCATGCCCCCGGACCCCCCTAGCAGGGCTTCGCGCCTTCGCCCTACCGTCCGTGCCGGAAAAACAGTTACCTGTCATTCATTGTCAAATTACCTGCTTTGTCAAAAGTTAACAAGAACCCTGATATGCCGATAAAAAGTGTTACAGACAGACCACAAATGGTAAGAAGTGACACGAAAGAAAGAAAATCAGAGAAATTACATATTTTAAGTTTCTGATTATTACTACAGGCTCAGCTAAACCATATGAAAGACCGGGCAAACACTTCTAGCCTTGCCACGCTAATGCCATTTTCAACCCATGGCATTGCAACACATACATGCAAGTGTGTAGTTAGTATTACTGGCATGCCAACTCGATTCACCTTGTACCGCGTTGAACACCTGCGCATGATAGGGTTAAAATGGGACGCGGGACTTTTGTCTGTAAAATAGTGCTTTGTCTCCTTGCCAAATAACCTGTCAAACTACTGCAGCCTCATTAACACCCCAGTCTGACATTGATTGGTGCCAATGCTCTCTATACCCACCCTCTACCCATCACTACATTTATATCAGACACAGCTAAATTAGCTAACTTGCTTAGCTAAGACAACTAATAATATTACTTAGCTGGGTTTACACTATCAACTTTTAGGTGCCAAGTTGATCGGCCTTTCATCTTTCTATAACTGAGAAAATCTGATTGAAATTCTTACTTTCTTGCATATATATGTAAATTTGCACGAGGCACAGCACGCGTGCAACCATTAAAAAGAAACGCGCGCGTAACTAACTTGACTGGACTGATGCTCGTAATTGCTTTGCTTCTTAAAAAAGGAAAAGAGATCAAAAGAATAAAAACGGAAAGTGTGGGAATGCAAGTAGATACGTGTAGATCACTTTACAAGCATTATGACCGTTTAGCTCATGGTATTGGCACAGAAGAAGAATTTAGTTATATAATGTGTAAAGTCATGTGCAGTATGAGCAGGCCAATATTATCAGGTGTGTCATAATATAGACTATATATAGACAATCTATATACAATCTATATAATATGAAACTCCTGATATTATCCCGCAGCAATGGGGATGAACTTGTTCGTTATGTAATGAAGCTGCATTTGTATAAAGAAATACCTTACCATCATTTGCTGAGTAATATACCTAAAACAAAGATTTCCTAAATACAGCTCACAATAAAATTCAGTCAGTAAATCAGTCAGTAAAATAACAGTCATACTTATTAGGAGATATATTACCAATTACACCAGCTTGAAATCACTTAACAAGAGCCGCAGAGCGTCTGGGCTCATCTGAGGTCTGTTGCTACGGTTATAAACGTAACATTTAAGTTGTGCGTAGTGACACCTTTGTTAGGCGCAGATATGCAGATACGCAGTTGCGTACACATCATTTCAGCAACCTTCTGCATTCTGCATACCTCCCAAATCCCATTGGTTGATACAAATCGCGTCCTGTTTTATGGTGCATTGACAAGAGTTTCAGGTACATTGTGACCCTAACCTTAACCATAACCCTATTAAACATCACACTATACACCGAATATTAAGAGCATAGGTCCATCCGTTAAGATTTGTGCCGCAATTCCGTATTTCCTCCTATACCTCAAGTTAAGGGGGAAATATTCCCCCTCCGTTTACACATCTTGACCTTTGACCCTTGACCCCCAAATTTGTCATCCTGAGTCCTTTTCACGACCCCCTCCTTGACATCCAGAATATCGTGACCGTACATCGAGCGGTTAAGATATGTGCCCAACTGTTGACGGAAGAACGGACGCACGGACGATCATGCGATTCTACAAGCTGCATCTGACTACGTCAAATGAGCTAACAAGAGCCGCAGAGCATCTGGGCTCATCTGAGGTCTGTTGCTACGGTTAAAAACGTAACATTTAAGTCCTGCGCATGGGTGTATGCAGGGGGGGTCGTGAGGGTCGTACAAACCCCCCAAAATTTTAAAAGGCCCACATTTTTTCCAAAGACATTTTTTTTCGAGGGCCTTTTCACAATGACATAAATAAAAAAGCATAATTGATCAGGTACCAGCAAAGAGTCCAAAGACATTGCCAATTGCGTGAGGTAAATCTATCCCAATTCCAGTAATTCTGAAACTGAGCGTTTTTTTAAACAAAATTTTTTGTTTAAAAAAACTGAGTTAAAAAAAGAGAGACAAAGACTGACAAAGACAAAGACAAGACAAGATCAAGACAAAGACAAGACAAAGAGTTCAAAAAACTGTTTTCAACTGAGTCAGAAAACTTTTTTCAAAAAACTGATCAAAAAACTTCAAATTTTTGTTTTAAAAAACAGATAATTTTTTTTTTAAGAAATTTTTTTTGTTTTA